TAGGACATAAATCTTCATATCACAGATACTTTAGAAAGATGGGAATTGGCAAAATATACTATAATTCTATGAATGTTCATACTGGCTCATCAAACATAAATAACTATAATTAGAAAATACCATTTAGCATGCCACCTTCTTCCCTAATAGCAAGATATCAGTCCAGTTACATTGAATAAAAAGAAGACCACCAAACTTAATCCACATTTGCATGTTTTAACAACAAAAATTGCTAAAAAACTGAGATTAAATAAAGATTCCACAAAAAACAGCAAGGGCGAAAATATGCATAGAGAGAAGACAGGGTTACCACAATCGCAACTATGCCATAACTACTGCAGCTATTGGCATAATTGTTCAACTGCTGTCACAATCTGGGCAGGCTGAACAACGGTCCATTCCTCCAATGTTCCAGCATATGGAGTTGGAACATCTTGAGAAGACAGGCATACAATAGGTGCATCCAAGTAATCATGGAAATTCTCAGTGATAGCTGCAGTTAAACTAGCACCAATTCCACCAGTCCGCATGCACTCCTCCACGATCAGCACACGATGCGTCTTTTTAATTGAATTTCCAATGGTGTGAAGATCAAATGGTTTCAATGACCTGATATCAATAACTTCGGGATCGTACCCCTTGTTAACCAAGGTTTTGGCAGCCTGCATCACATGATACCTCATTCGGGAATAGGTAAGAATAGTGACATGCTCCCCAGGCCTAACCATTTCAGCTTCCTCAAGATTACAAATGTATTCTTCATCTGGAATCCTCTCCTTAAGGTTGTAAAGCAAAACATGTTCAAAAAGTATCACTGGGTTATCACTTCGGATTGCAGCTTTCATCAAGCCCTTTGCATTATATGGAGTTGAGCATGCTACCATTTGAATTCCCGGGATTGATTGAAAATATGACTCAAGGCGTTGAGAGTGCTCAGCTCCAAGTTGCCGACCAACTCCACCAGGTCCACGAATAACAATTGGTATTTTAAACTGGCCACCAGAAGTATAGTGAAGCATTCCACAATTGTTGGAGATCTGGTTAAATGCCAAAAGGAGAAATCCCATGTTCATTCCCTCAACAATTGGCCTCAGGCCGGTCATGGCAGCTCCAATGCCCATACCGGTGAAGGAATTCTCAGCAATAGGGGTGTCAAGAACCCTGAGATCCCCATACTTGGTAGCCAGACCTCTTGTTACTTTGTATGAGCCTCCATAGTGACCCACATCTTCACCCATCACGCATACATTTGGATCTCTGTCCATTTCCTCTTCCAAGCCCTCTCGTAAAGCTTCAAAAAGCAAGAGTTCATGCCTGTGAAAAGAAAATGCAAAAATCAGTTAACTGTATCCTCCATTAGTAACATTGAAACCATTCCACTTGTATAAATTAGAAATTAGTGGAAGATAATGGCTATAACAAATAATCTCAATTTCATTCCATTTGGCAACTTGAAACAGTTGAAAGGTCAATTTAGTTGTTGCCTAACTAGACTCTCAAATACAAAGATAACTCCAGAGGTATTCCAAGCACTTAAATATATATCACCTTTAGATTCTATCTAGCTAATCAAATTCCATTTAAGGATAACTTTGGACCACTGCACAGAGGATGGAGCATATTTTGTCAAAGGCATGAGAAACACCAAAGCTGTAGGTTCAGAAGCATCATTATTCTACATCTTACAGGAAAGATACATCAACTAAAATGTATTAGATAATATCCGAGAAAATCACTTTCAAGGAATACCGTAAAGGTGCATTTGGTAAATGAGAGTTCCCATGTTCGGCTTTCTAACAGAGACAAGATTAATAATCCCTGCTCCACCAATCAATCTCACTTGCAAACTATAACTAAACACATTGAGAACCTTGAGTTCAGGTTGTCCATGTTTTTTGGACTACATTTTCAGGATATAATCTTTATTGTTGAGTTATATTTTAAATTTTAAATTTATTAATTTAATTACATAACTGATTAATTCTTTTAAATAAAAGTACATAAATATTCAATGAGTAATCAGAAATATTATTTAAATGTTTTTTAATTAGTTAATACTGTAAAATTCCATAGCCAATAGTAAAATTAATTATGGTATTATAAACAAAATATTTAAATTAATTTGAAAGAAAATTTAAATATTAATCAACTTTAATCTAAATTAGATTTCATTAGTTCTGGGGAATTTGTGCTCATACAATTATCCAATTCTGTTATGCATGCCAACATCCCTCAAAATTCTTAGTACTAGTTAGTCTCATAACATACAATCTCTATGTCAATAAAATTCTTGTTCTTTATCAGGGTGATTATTTAACAACAAATTAAAAATCCTATAGTTTATAGACCAACTGATATTAATTTTAAAATAAAACATACTTAAGTATTAAGTCATCACGAACTACTTTAATCAGTAGCTAAGCTAAAAAGCACTTGAATAAAGGACCAGAAAATTACCCAGGCTTCGAGGCTGAAGTAGAAGCCGCAGAATCAGGTTTAGTCTATAAATTCACAGAATAACAAATTCAGTACAGAGTAAAAAAATTATAGAGAAACAAAACTTACAGATTATGTTTACTTACTGCAACTGCATTAGTATCAACTTTTGAGCCTTCTGAGATCTCGAGCCCGAACCAAAATTCGTGCTTCCATCAGATCTGACGACGACGAAGCCGCTTTTCTTCCTAATTCAATTACAAAAAATCAATTCTAAATCTTAATTTAATTTTTAAAACGAATTAATTGATATCAGTCGGCAGCGAACCTGAGAGAGATCTGCGAGAAGGAAGCAAGCTTCTTAGAATCGAAGCTTGGCGTTGTCGGTGATAAGCAGTGGCAGCTCCTATTCCCTGGAAAATCGCGGCCATTGGATTCACAGAATATAGAGCGCTGCTTGTTTTAGAGTGCAAGGAAGAAAGAAAGACAGTGGTTTAAATTTATATCGAAAAACGAAAGGACAATGGGCGGAGAATTGAGCAGTTTGTGTTTGTGAGCTCTTTCACGTTGCTCTCGTAGCGTTCGTTCGGCGATTAATTGAAGAAGCGGGAGAACTACCACATGTTAACAGCCCCAAACATTGTTTACATCGCCGTCTGTCTTATTAATCGCTATCAAATTGGAAGCAGCCACGTCAGAATTTTGAAGGGTGATTATGTCAATTCAAGTTGGCTTTTCGGGATTTTGACTACGGAATTGCCCTAAGTGGAAAAGAACACGTAAGCTTGTGGCCTTTTTGGGTAATGGATTACGATCGTTGGTGACCACCTGGACCAACCGTAACTAGCACTCGTAATGTGTACCAGGAAGGGATCTAATACAAGTTGTTCTATCGTATTATGTTGTGATTGTGTTGATTTAAATAGATATTAATTCATTTACGGTACGTATCACAAAGGATTAAAAATTTTGATATCATGTTGCTCGCGTTAGTTTATAATTCATATTATGTTAATAAATTAATACCTATAGATCCACTATTTGGCCTTAAGTTTATTATTTTACACTATTTAGCGTATTACATATTTAGATTAGAAATCAAATTACTTAATCTTCAAGGTTCTCTTCTTCAATTAACTCTAAAAAAATTCAAAGGTGATGGTTGAAACAATTCACATTTAGTGAAACCTCGTGTTTTCAACTAATCCACCGGTACATAACATTCTTGGGTTTCAAGTTTCAACCATCTACCGCCCCTGAAGTATCTGAAATTTGTTAGACCTAAAAGTAGGATATTACACAAATACCTCCCATGCCACAGTTTTGGACGTTAAAACTGACGGGTTGAGGTAAAAAATAATTTAAATGAGAAGTCATATCTAATGCTTTTGAAAATGTTCCAGTTCCATAATCATAAGATTATTATATCTATTTATTGAAAAGTATTTATTTATAAAAATTATTATTTTTATTATTTTATTAATGATTTGAATATTTTATTTAGATTTTTAAGTTTTAAATTTTTTTTTTTTTGTGATTTGGATGTGTCCGGGTCGCTTACTTGTAACTCAACTATCCTCAATATCCTATAATTACTGATTAGGTAATAACTCTAGTGGTTACCCAATAGCAATCGACGAGGGATCGAATTCAGGACCTCTTGATTAATACACCTAAAAATCCTTATCGAGCCACTCGACATCCAAAGATAGGGTTTTTTTTTTTTTTTTTTTTTTTTTTTTTTTTTTTTTTTTGTATCAAGGTATCCAAATCAAATTATGTATAACTCAACTAATCCTCGAGGTCCAATTAAACACTCTATAAACTCAAAGAACTAGATAAACTACAATATTATTATGGTTAGTGGTTTCTTTGAACCCAAAAACTCTGGTAAGTGGCCTTTCCTTGATTGCCAGTGCAAAACTGGGGGTAGGTAGATTCAGTTTATTTTTTGCCCTTTATTCCTACATCCATAACATTTTAATATATTTTCAATTATCTCTTTTAAGTATTTAAAATGATAATTACAACCTTTAATTTCTAAATATTTAAAATCATAAATAAAAAACCTTTAATTTTTAGAAAATGTATTATTGTAACGGAAATAATTGATTATGATTGTTTTAACACTTTAAGGTTCTATCAAAAAAGAAAACTATTATATATGTTAAATTTGACCAAGTAAGAAAATAATTAAAGAAAACAAAGAAATTATCGAAAAATGAAAAGCAAGAATTTTTTTTTTTAATTATTAAGTCTTTACATCAAAAATGAAAATAATTTTTTCAATTCATATAAATTTTTATTGACATTATATATAATAATAACTTATTGTTAATTATGTAACTATTATTTTATTATTATTATTGACAATATAAATATATAATTTTAAAATAAAAAATATCAAATTCATCTTAAAAATATAAAACGCCAGTTATATTTGGTGGAATAAAGAAAATAAAAAACCACCTAAAATAATTTAATAAAAAAATAATTTTTTTTAGTTGCATGGGATAAAATTCCAACTGTCTAGTGTGTACTACTAGAATAAGAAAAGTGTCAAAGCCTCATCGGCCAGTTCAAAACGATCAAACAGTCGTTACAAAACGACAAGAGAATGGAAGCATTCTATCTCTTGTGCTCAATCCTCTCCACATTTTTTACTTCCCTCGCTCTCTCCCTCCTCCTTCCCTTCCGCACGGTCTTCCGCCTCCTTCATCCGCCGCTGACGTCTCCTTCATCCGCCGCTGACGTCTCAGACTCAGTTTCTCTGTACGAAGGCACCGTGTGGCACGAGCGCCGTCGCCCTGTCCGCCACTCTTTCAAGTATCCCGTACGCTACGCGCTCTTCGACCTTGACCATGCGCTCCACGCGCCGCTTGACCATCTCTCCGCTGGAGAAGCTCGCCGAGTGGCTGAGACTAATGGACCAGTGTACATTTTCTATTACTATTCTTTTTTATTTAGCACGTGAATTTCATATTTTGGTAATGTGAATTATAATACTAGTGAATTCATTTTAGTTACATGCTGAATATTCGTTTCATGAAATTTTTTTAATCTGTTGATTTTCAACTGAATTGAAGCAGCATTTGAATTTGCATTTATTTTCAACGTAGTTTATTGTTTTGAGTGTTATGTAACTTACGTTTGGCTTAGAATTTAAACACAGGTACTGTGTTTTTGAAAAAAGGAAACAAAAGATTTTAAGAGAGCGAGCATTTTTGGGATATGATACTAATAGCTAGTGTAAAATCAGAAAATGAACAAAAAAAATGATCCGTGCTCTAATTTTCAAAAAGTTAAACCCTGAAAACAGTTTTTCGGATATGAAAACTATAGTGATACAACACAGATTTTGGATTATATTTTACTTTTTAAAATTATTTTTGAATATCAAATCAATTCATAAAAGTGTTTCAAACAATTTGATATTGTGATGCATTTTGCAGTTTACTCTTAACTATACCTCGTAGTGTGGGATATGAACAAAATCCTTTGAGTTTGTATTACTGCTATCAAGTGGAAGGCTCTACTCAGTGTTTGAAGAAATGCATTGCTGAGGTATGTAAATTATGTGCTTCTTTAATTTGAAATGTGCATGGAGCATGGTGTTCTTAAAGTCATTGGCCATCCATTTAATAAATCAAGCATATTATGCTTCTGCATCTTCTTTATTTTGATTTTATATTAATTGTCAATCTAATTGATGATTGAAGCTGGAAGGTTTTTGCTGATGGTATTGACGGTTTCTCTTCTTATAGGTAACTAATACACCATGGGGCGAAAGAGTAACATTTGTTTTTAATCCCAATTCAGATTTGGTGGCTAAACCATTACATGTCAGTCCTTTTATGGTAGGTTCTGCATTTCTTTTGCTATTGCACTGTTTATTTATTTATTTTATAAATTTCACTACCGCATGCTTCTGATAGATACTTTATTGATAAATATTTTATATAATATTTGGAAATTTAGTTGATGTCATTGATTTTCTTACATTCTTTTGAATTTACTATGTTCTGGAGCACTACACATGGCTACACTATATAATTGTATATGCTCTGGAATGCTATAGGCTGTCTTCTTTAAATTTAACTGATTCTGTCAATGCTTTCTCAAAGAAAGAGTATAAGTATCCTTGCCAAGCTTTTGGTTTGATGAAAGGAAAGGAAGGTCAAAATTATGTTTGCTTGTCTTACTTATATGACTAGAAAATTTTGAATCAACTGGAAGTGTTGGTTGACATGCCCAATCATGGGGACAAAGGGGATTGCATTGTGGTATCCTTGATGAAGTACAACTTTGAGAGAATTCAAATTTCTGATTTATGGTGGCTAATGCTTAAAAGGCAGTATTTGGTGGCTTTAGACATCTAGTAGAATGGTTCAAGGTGTTGTGTTGATACAGAACAGATTGTACTGATGTTTAAGGAGGATAAGATTTCTGGCACCGAGGAATTGGGTTGCATTTCTGGGCATCAACTAAATTAAGGATTTTAGTTATGCTTTTGATTAGCTGGTTAACAGAAACAGGTAAAGATAATTTGTGGAAACTTAGGATTTTGATGGGATGAAAGAAGAGTTTGTTTGAGTTGCAATATAGGGAAACAAACCTTCCAGTGATCAGTTACCATGAACAGTAAATTGGTAGCGATAGGTATGAGTTGTTTTTTTTGATGAAGGGATTAAAAGTGGCAGCAGAATAGTGAATTGTTGCCATGATGTAGCGACAAAATAAAAGAGAGTTATAATGAACTTCAAGTCTTATTCTCCAATGAATGATTCACATGAAGAAAAATAAATGGCATCATCAGGTATTTTATGTGGTTAAATTGAATGGTTAATGGAAGATACAATGGTTGCAGTGAAATCCCCTCATAGTAGGGCCTGCAAAACGGTTGACATCTAGTAATGAGTGCTACTATTTTCTTTGTCCAGATTTATATTAGTTTTGATTTCTCATGTACAAATCAAGGGAAAAGATACTAGTGTTAGTTAATTCAAATATAGTAATATCCTATTTTTGAAATTGTATGAGTAATGCAAGATTCATGCCTTTTGAAAAGGCATGCTTTGTTGATGTTATATCTGGGAGTTTCACATATCATGCACAATGTAACATGGTTATGCTCTTCTTTCTTATACAAAAGAGATACCAAGCAATAATTTCCACAAAAATTTCAGGATATGCTTGGGACTTGGAACATCAGGGCTAATTCTCCTGGAGAGAATTTAAATATATCAATCTCAGTTCAGCATCCTCAGCTTGGTGACTATTTTGTAGCTACCTTGAGAGCAAAAAGGGTCTCCTCAGTAATGGTGTCTGATCATGCCATGTTCTTCTGGTTAATGCCTCATAAGGTTGCACTGTGGATATATTGGCATGTAAGTCCAATTGAAAGATTGTTAAACAATGTGATGCATTTGATATAGAAACATCTAATCTATGAAAGAATATGGATACACTAGAGATTTCAAAAGATATTACATGGGGAAAATATTTTTTTGCTGTAACATGCATTTCATGATTGGATTGACTCATAAATGTCTCCTAACAACATTAAGAACCACAAAATTAAGAATTAGGGGTAATATATTTTGTTCCCCTCTTTGAGAGAACTGTATGTTTGTATTCTAGAATTGATATAATTTAATACTTAACTATACTGCTAACAAATGGAAAAGAAAAGGGAAACCAATTTTACTTTATACAGTCTACTTCTTATGCAAAATTAACATAAACTGAACCAAGTTTTTAATGAACCGACCAAAGTGCTGAAAATTTTAAGTCAAATCAAAAGCTATCAATAGAAGCCATTAATTAGTGACAAGAGTACTGTTTTCATGATTTGCTAGGAGGGACACATTAGTGATAATTTTGATTTGTTGTTACATATTGAAAATAGCAGAAACTGATACACAAAAATTTTGATCATTACTCTGATGCAAGAGCCACCATTTGTGCTTCTTGTATCAACTAAAATTTTCCCATGCAATCAAAAGATGTGCACCTGACTCAAGGTGGCTTCAATTTAGCCTTATCTGAGTGCTTAATTGGAGTTTTTGGCATTTCTCAGACACGCTCACTGCAGGATAAGCTGCAAAAATGGCAACTTGAGTGGGAACTTGAATGAGTTTGGAACCTGTAGAATGCACTTATTTTCCTTTTTTTATCAATATACTTCATCTCCACATAAGTTTTCAGAAAGATTCTTGATTTTCTTGCCATTAGATATTGTACCTATTGTCTAATGAACACTTTAAATGAAATACATTTCCCTGTGCTTCAAATTGAATCAATTATTTATCTGTTTTTAACATGTTTTTCTAGGCGATTAAGCTATGGTGGAAAAATTTGTCATTTATCCAACACCCTAGGTATACTAACCCAGAGTATAGGAAGGAAGCTTTGATACGTGATCAGAAACTTCAATGCTGTCCAGCTGTTGGAGGCAATAATGATAATTATTTGCAAGTTGAAGGAAGTGATCTGAGATATCAGGCTGACCGGAATATTGGGGATCGTTGGTTTGCATGGAGAGATGCTAAGTGGCCTTGGTCTTGAATGTTATCGGTAAGCCTTTACGTTGTCTGGTTCAATATTAAAAGATGCTTTTTCTTATTCTTCCTATGTATAGTTTGTTACCAATATATGTGGGGTTTGCCACGCTCATTGGTATGCAATAAATATTTTATGACTGAATGGTATTTCCCATTTGAAGGGAAGATACTCACTGAGCTCCCTTTTTTCTTCAGTAAAGCAAGTAAATGTTCTAATAATCCTTTGTAATTATGGAATCCATTGTTTCCCATCTCAAATTTTCAATCTGTTATTTACTTGGGTGTATTTTTAGACTTGATTGAAATACTTAAATGGTAAATACATATCAAACAGTGTCATCCTGTAAAGCATGGATCTAGCTATACAGGAAAACTGTTTACACTCATTTTTCCCCTCTTCGGTCATCTTCATCTTGAGCATGTGTATGTTTTTATTTTTAACTGTTGTAATAGATTTGGAGTACTGATTACCAACTTTCATATATTTAGTTGGAAAAACATGATCTTGAGGATGGTTCTGCTTTGATTCAAGTATATTTGCACAAAAAAAGTGCAGGGAATTTATTCCAATTTATATATGGTAAAAAATTGCATAGAGAGAAGACAGGGTTACCACAATCGCAACTATGCCATAACTACTGCAGCTATGGCATAATTGTTCAACTGCTGTCACAATCTGGGCAGGCTGAACAACGGTCCATTCCTCCAATGTTCCAGCATATGGAGTTGGAACATCTTGAGAAGACAGGCATACAATAGGTGCATCCAAGTAATCATGGAAATTCTCAGTGATAGCTGCAGTTAAACTAGCACCAATTCCACCAGTCCGCATGCACTCCTCCACGATCAGCACACGATGCGTCTTTTTAATTGAATTTCCAATGGTGTGAAGATCAAATGGTTTCAATGACCTGATATCATAACTTCGGGATCGTACCCTTGTAACACAAGGTTTTGGCAGCCTGCATCACATGATACCTCATTCGGGAATAGGTAAGAATAGTGACATGCTCCCAGCGTACCATTTCAGCTTCCTCAAGATTACAAAAGTATTCTTCATCTGGAATCCTCTCCTTAAGGTTGTAAAGCAAAACATGTTCAAAAAGTATCACTGGGTTATCACTCGGATTGCAGCTTTCATCAAGCCCTTGCATTATATGGAGTTGAGCATGCACCATTTGAATTCCCGGGATTGATTGAAAATATGACTCAAGGCGTTGAGAGTGCTCAGCTCCAAGTTGCCGACCAACTCCACCAGGTCCCCGAATAACAATTGGTATTTTAAATGGCCACCAGAAGTATAGTGAAGCATTCCACATGTTGGAGATTGGTTAAATGCCAAAAGGAGAAATCCATGTTCATTCCCTAACAATTGGCCTCAGGCCGGTCATGGCAGCTCCAATGCCATACCGGTGAAGGAATTCTCAGCAATAGGGGTGTCAAGAACCCTGAGATCCCCATACTTGGTAGCCAGACCTCTTGTTACTTTGTAGTGCCTCCATAGTGACCCACATCTTCACCCATCACGCATACTTGGATCTCTGTCCATTTCCTCTTCCAAGCCCTCTCGTAAAGCTTCAAAAAGCAAGAGTTCATGCCTGTGAAAAGAAAATGCAAAAAACAGTTAACGTATCCTCATTAGAACATTGAAACCATTCCACTGTATAAATTAGAAATTAGTGGAAGATAATGGCTATAACAATAATCTCAATTTCATTCCATCTGGCAACTTGAAACAGTTGAAAGGTCAATTTAGTTGTTGCCTAACTAGACTCTCAATACAAAGATAACTCCAGGGTATTCCAAGCACTTAAATATATATCACCTTTAGATTCTATCTAGCTAATCAAATTCCATTTAAGGATAACTTTGGACCACTGCACAGAGGATGGAGCATATTTTGTCAAAGGCATGAGAAACACCAAAGCTGTAGGTTCAGAAGCATCATTATTCTACATCTAACAGGAAAGATACATCAACTAAAATGTATTAGATAATATCCGAGAAAATCACTTTCAAGGAATACCGTAAAGGTGCACTTTGGTATATGAGAGTTCCCATGTTCGGCTTCTAAAGAGACAAGATTAATAATCCCTGCTCCACCAATAATTCACTTGAAACTATAACTAAACACATTGAGAACCTTGAGTTCAGGTTGTCCATGTTTTTGGACTACATTTTCAGGATATAATCTTCATTGTGAGTTATAGTTTAAATTTTAAATTATTAATTTAATTACATAACTGATTAATTCTTTTAAATAAAAGTACATAAATTCAAGAGTAATCAGAAATATTATTTAAATGTTTTTTAATTAGTTAATACTGTAAAACCATAGCCAATAGTAAAATTAATTATGGTATTATAAACAAAATATTTAAATTAATTGAAAGAAAATTTAAATATAATCAACTTTAATCAAATTAGATTTCATTAGTTCTGGGGATTTGTTCATACAATTATCCATTGCCTCAGAAATTCTTAGTACTGTATGTCTCATAACATACAATCTCTATGTCAATAAAAATTCTTGTTCTTTATCAATGGTGATTATGTAAAAAAACAAATTAAGATCCTATAGTTATAAACCAGCTGATATTAAATTTTAAATAAAACATACATACTTAAGTATAAGTCAATCCAGAACTACTTTAATCAGTAACTAAAGCTAAAAAAAAAAAAAAAAAACTTGAGTAAAAGAGCAAAGAAAAGTACCAGGCTTCGAGGCTGAAGTAGAAGCCGCAGAATCAGGATAGTCATAAATTCACAAGAATAACAAATTCAGTAACGAATAGAAAAATTATAGAGAACAAAAACTTAGAGATTAATGATTACTTACTGCAACTGCATTAGTGATCAACTTTTGAGCCTTCTGAGATCTGGAGCCCGAACCAAAATTCGTGCTTCCATCAGATCTGACGACGACGAAGCTCGCTTTTCTTCCTAATTCAATTACAAAAATCATATTCAAATCTTAATTTAATTTGTTTAAAACGAATGTAATTGAGTTCGGTCGGCAGCGAACCTGAGAGAGATCTGCGAGAAGGAGCGGAAGCTTCTTAGAATCGAAGCAATTGGACGGTGTCGGTGATAAGGCAGTGGCAGCTCCTATTCCCTGGAAATCGCGGCCATTGGATTCACGAATATAGAGAGAGCTGCTTGTTATAGAGTGCAAGGAGAGAGAAAGACAGTGGTTTAAATTTATCGAGAAAACGAAAGGAAATGGGCGGAGAAATTGAGGCCAGTTTGTTTTGTGAGCTTTCACGTTGCTCTCGTAGCGTTCGTTCGGCGATTTAATGAAGAAGCGGAAGAACTACCACGTGTTAACAGCCCACAACATTGTTTACATCGCGTCGTCTTATTAATCGCTACAAATTGGAAGTAGCCACGTCAGAATTTTGAAGGGTGATTATGTCAATTCAAGTGGCTTCAGGGATTTTGAATTACGGAATTGCCCTAAGTGGGAAGAGACACGTAACGTAAGCTCTGTTGCTTTTTGGGGTAATGGTAGGACGTTGGTGACCCACTGGACCAACCGTAACTAGCGCTCGTAATGTGGTACTAGGAAGGGATCTAAACATATTGTTCTATGGTAGTTTGGTGATGGTTTGATTTCAAATAGATATAGTTCATATCATGCGATCACAAAGGAATAAAGGATTAAGAATTTGGATATGCTCGTGTCAGTTTAATAATTCATTTTATGTTAATAAATTAAACCTTTGTATTATAATCTTGATATATATATCAAGGGTGTTTTTGGTTTAAGAAATGTTGTATTATTAAGAATGTATATTAGTAGAAAAAAATTATCTTTAGGGTGTGTTTGGTTCATGGAATATTGAATTACTGAGAATGTTAGATTACTGAAATCTTATATACGTTGAAGATTACTGGGAATCTTTAGGAAAAATGTGTTGGGTAGTTGATAAGTATGTTATATTAATATGTTTGGTTAGGGGGAATAAATTGGTGGGTATGTTATTTAAATTACTAAATTGCCAAATATAATATAATATTATTTTTATATTAGTTTTTGAATATTCTTTTAACCCCAATATTTCAAATTTAGCTAAAAACACCCTGCTTATATAAAACTTAATTTATAACAAAATCACCCCCATCCCTTGCCACCGCCTGGCCACGCAAACCACGACGAAAATCACCGTGAGTAGCTCACCGTGACGTGAGGCTTAATATGGTCATTTCTAGCTATATTGATGGCCGAAAATGGAAAGATCTGACCGATAATGACCAAGGATCTAGATTGATATGGCTGTTTTTGCCATCAATATGGCCAGAAACGGCCATATCGAAGCCTCCTAGTGACTCCGGTCATTTTAGGGACTCCGGCAGTGGTTGGCCCGCTGTCCAGTGGTGGTTGGGTAACGTTGGTGGTCTGTAATTTGTTTTAAATATAAGGGTATTATTGTCCAAAACTTAATTAAACAAGGGTAAAATTGAAATGGTATATTAATTTAAATTGATTTTAAAACAGGGGCATTATTGTCCAAAATTTTTATTAATAAGGGATAGAATTGTAACAAAAATAAGATTCTTTGGTAATCTATATCCATTATTACCGACAATAACAACTATTGGTAATGCAAGATTACCGGAATCTTATATTACTTAACAACTAAACATGATAATCAAGTAATATAAGATGATATAACCCCAATAATCTTTATTACCTCCAACCAACGTCTCCTAAAGATTGTTGGAAATGTTTAGGGAAATATTGGGGTGGTTGGAATAATTGGTGGGTATATTATATTAATATGTTTGGTTGAGAGGAATAGATTAGTGGATATGTTATTCAAATTACTGAATTGTCTTCAAATTAAATATTATTATTTAGATTAAATAACCCCTTACATTTAAAACTTTGGCAAAAACAACCCCATAATAAAGTTTAAAAAATCAACATACACCCCCACCAACCCAGCCACTACTGGCCGCAGCAACTGGCAAACTAACGGCATACAAAAGGATTTGGTCGTTTTTTGACCAAATCGATGGATCTTAGCCGGAAACGACTATATTAGATTTAACCATTTTTCGGCCATATTGACACACAGAAGGTGGAATTGTGCGCCGTTCAATGACGAGGGCGACTAGCCGTCGGCGGTGGTTGTGGTGGCCGATAGCGGCAAGTGGGTGGGGTGGTGGCTTGGGTAGGCTGCAACTTGTTTGAA